GTCCGACGCGCATCGATCGATTTTTACCATTCTATCCTGAGAGAGCGAGAGAATAAGAGGGGCAGAGCGAGAGGGTGGGAAGCGGAGAGAGACGGAGCGAGTCAGGGAGGAAGGGAGACGGTGGAAGTCAGAATGATAAAGAGGGAGAAAGATACGAGACATGTAATCGTTTAGCATCCGTAACGCGTTGATGACGGTTCGCGTTCATGAACCGAGCCTTCCCCATCGATTCTGATTAGTCTTCGCGGTTATCCGCGAGGAAATTCGAATCGGAAGCGATTACTTGCTCCGCGGAGGAGACGGGGGTTGAAAATCCTGACGCTATCCGGACACGAGCCTCCGATGTAAGATCCGATGGAGAAACGGGATTAGTTTGAACAGGGGAATCGCTATCGCAGCATTCCAGATTAGCTTTCGAATATTTCGCAACCCCTGCTAGCAACCGCTGCGTGATATCGTAGCGATTAGTCGGTAATCGTTTCATACTCGATTCTTCTGTAAATTATTCTGTGAGAAAAAGGTCGACGATTCCTTTAGATTGAATTATTTCTACGATATCGTAGAAATCAGGTGTGAACGAGTGGATTCGATTATCGGATTGTACGAGCGGCACACACCTGGCGGTAGATATCGGTTTCTGTGTTAACAATTCAACCGTACTCGCAGACGAAACGTACAACCCGCTAGCCTAATTTCCATAGACAGCGTCGTAGCTAGCCTCGACCTTTCCGCGTCGATACTGGAATCTAATACTCCGCGATTACAGGGACTGAATACTTCACGAGATCGAAGGGTTCGACTCTCTTCGGACGGTCGCCTGCCGAGGCATCCTCGCGGGGTGCACGCCTTGCCATTTGTCGAACGGTCATTATTTTCTGCGCTACAGACCAACGTCTATCTTGGAATTTCGAAAACCTCGGGATACGTTCACGAGATTAGATTCTAACGATTGAACCGTTACCGACGAATAGAATGAACATCGACGAAACGCGCGATAAGTGTAACAACGTTGAACATCCGACTTAAGACAGAGCCAAGGAGAATTAACCCTTTGTCTGGGATCGCGAAATCCTGCGTCAACGAAGACCTTCCCCGAAACGGCTCGCGAAGCAGTTTTCTCCTTTCCTCTTTCGATTTACCTTGCACCGATGCAGGAAAATTGCAACTCGACTTGTGCGTCGTCGTTTGATCGATATCAGGGACGATGCTTACGAAACCATTTCCTCCCGGAGGAGGAGGAGGAGCAGCAGGAGGAGGAGGAGGAGTGAAGACGAACAGTGGACCGGGCAAGATCGGAAGGGTACGCGTTACGTGTACTTACGTCCGTGTACGTGCACGCGTCACACGATCAATACCGAACCAGACACTCGGGCTGCGGCGGTCGCGAACTAGATTGCCAACGAAAAAACAGGGGGTGCACGGGGAAACGTTCTCTAAACAGGAACACCAGCGAACGGGGAAGGAAGAGAGAGCTAGAGGGAGATTAACCCTGTGCACGCTGACAAAGAATCTCGACAGTAGGGTCCTACAGGCCCATTGTTTCGCCTATGTTTAAACCCTTTGCAGTCAAAAGTTTCTCACTGCAAGTATTCAGCGTTCTCTGCCGCAGAAGACATTCGTTGGAGACAACTCGAGGAGAAAGCACGCGTGAATCAAGGAGTAAAGATATTTTACACGATTATTTCGCGTATCGATGCAACGTACGATTATTAAACGTTAGACTTGATGATTTTACTGTATCGAGTCATGGAGAGTCGCCTCTCCAGTGCAAATTAACCCCTCGCCGTACTATTTACTTTCGCCGTTAAGCTCGTGTACCATTTTACTTGAAAATTGGAAATTTGATTTGAAGATAATACAATGATAATAGCAAAATAGTTTGCTTTGATCCGTGGGTAATGAATAACATGGATTGTTGTTAAATTAGTCTAGAAATCTTCATCGCGAGTCTCACTCATTGTACGGCAAGGGGTTAATGTTTCCAGTTAATGTTTCATCCGAGATCGTTGCCGAAACGAACGATGTTTGTGTTATGTAAACAGAGGATTCGAAACGTACCGGAAGTTCTCGTTCGAATCCGCGAGTAACCGAAGGGCCGAATAATATAGAAAATCAGATGCATGGGAAAATTTATTTAGATTAACCCGGTAGCAAAGGGGTCCAAAGAGAACGGTCCGCGCATTCATTGGGCAACAAGGGGTCGTAGGAATAAGAGGATCGGCCGTGGCCGAACAGCGAAAAAGGGGAACCACCGGACCATTGTTATTGTACGCGAACGAATCGGATGAATGAACGTGT